AAATGTCCTTTCCTCTACTCTGCAGGGACTACGTGACGGAGTTCTCTTCCATCCTCATTCAACACCTGCAGGACTCACGCAAGCAAAACCTCCTTTCCCCTCCTCTGCAGGGACTACGTGACGGAGAAGTTCTCCATCCTCGTCCAACAGCTGCAGGGCGTACGTAACCAAAACGTCCATTCCCCTCCTCTGCAGGGACTACGTGACGGAGAAGTTCTTCTCCATCCTGCACCTGCCGGTGGTGCCGGTGGTGCTGGGCGCGGCCAACTACAGCGCGGTGGCGCCGCCCGACTCCTACATCGACGCGCGCGCCTTCCCGTCGCCGCGCGCCCTCGCCCGCTACCTGCGCTACCTGGCGGGCGCGCCGCGCCAATTCGCGAAGTTCTTCTGGTGGAAGCGCTACTACCGCGTGGTGACGGCGGCGCCCGCCACGCTCTGCCGCCTGTGCGACGCGCTGCTCAAGGAACCGCTGCCCGGTGACGTCACGGGATGGGGTGCCGCAGGGTGTTAACTGGTGGTACTGTGCGGCCTCGGCAGGGAGTTCGCGACCATACGTGTAGTGCCTGGGGGCCGCAGTGTTAATTGGTGGCACTGCGCGGCCTCGGCAGGGAGTTCGCGACCATACTTGTAGTGCATGGGGGCTGCAGGGTGTTAACTTGTGGTACTATGCGGCCTCGGCAGGGAGTTCGCGAGCGTTCGCGTCCTGCCTGGGGTGCTGAAGGGTGTTAACTAGTGGTACTGCGGGGCCTCTAAAGGAAGTTCGCGACCACATCTGTAGTGCCTGGGGTGCCGCAGGGTGTTAATTGGTGGTACTGTGCGGCCTCGGCAGGTAGTTCGCGGGCGTTCGCGTCCTGCCTGGGGTGCCGCAGGGTGTTAACTGTTAGTACTGTGGGGCTTCGGCAGGGAGTTCGCGAGCGTTCGCGTCCTGACTGGGGTGCCGCAGGGTGTTAACTGGTGGTACTGTGGGGCCTCGGCAGGGAGTTCGCGAGCGTTCGCGTCCTGCCTAGGTTGCTGCAGGGGGTTAATTGGTAGCAATGCGGGGCTTCAACAGCCGGTTTGCCAGCGTTCGAATCCTGCCTGGGGTGCTGCAGGGTGTTAAATGGTGGCACTGTGGGGTCTCGGCAGGGAGTTCGGGAGCGTTCTCGTCCTACCTGGGGTGCCGCAGGGTGTTAACTGGTGGAAATGTGCGGCCTCGGCAGGTAGTTCGCGGGCGTTCGCGTCCTGCCTGGGGTGCTGCAGGGTGTTAATTGGTGGTACTGTGGGGCCTCGGCAGGGAGTTTGCGAGCGTTCGCGTCCTGCCTAGGTTGCTGCAGGGGGTTAATTGGTACCAAAGCGGGGCTTCAACAGCCGGTTTGCGAGCGTTCGAATCCTGCCTGGGGTGCTGCAGGGTGTTAAATGATGGCACTGTGGGGCATAGAGAGTTCGCGAGTGTTCGAGTCCTGATGGTGTGGCTAGATATCTGGGTCGAATATCTACCGCTGTCCGGTGGAGAATTTGTGTGTCCAGCTGTTCTGATCGGAAGTTTTCCATGGTTTCGCCGCTCAACATCAGGCAAATGTTAGAGAATCGCCTACAATCATTCTTCTAAAAATCGTGAATGTGATTATGTACGTATGAGGTAAGAGTACGAAGAGGAATATGACGAAATAAATGCGCGTGGTTCGTTTGTCAGGGTACCGCCCCGGTATGGTGTATATATTGGTCGAAGAAAAAACGAAAAAACACCCTTCAGGTCAGCGAGCAACTAGAATTCTATTTTTTACGCCCTGGGGAAGGTCGCAGAATGGCGACCGAAACGTCGGCACCATCGCCATGGACGCGGCGTCACCCGGACAGCCTAGTAAATACTGACTCCGGCCGTGGAAGCCTACGCTCTCAGGTAGGATTCTCCTTCGGACAGCGGCTGAATTCGTTCTAGCTAGTAACTACAACCCCGCCGCTCTCGGTATTCGAACCCCAGGAATTTTCGTTGAGAGGCACTGCAGTGTCATCAACTGACGCCCTGAGACAGCTATGCCGGTGTTTGCAAATGAAAGCGAAAGAAGCAGTGGTTAATTCAATGCGTGCTCCGATCAGGGCAGCGGACTCACGAGGATGTGGAGGCGTGGTGGCACGAGCCTGGGGTGTGCGAGGCGCCACGCGAGTACGCGGAAAAGGACGAGGAAAAGGACGACGAAGACGACGACGACGACGATGAAGACGACGGCGCAAGCAGGTAGGTACATTTGCTCCCGTCACACAGCTTTCCCGTTGCCTCTGCGGTGCGTATTGACCGGCAGGCTCTGGGGTTAATACTTCAGACAGCGGAATAAATTTTACTTTTTCGCTGCGGAGTAGAGAGAAAGTTATGTAATGCTGCGCGAAAAAAAGGCGAATTTTCGGCAGACAAACTTTACTTATAGGGCGTTGGTAACGAAGAAGGAAATAAATTCAGTTGATAAATTAAAATAATATCCTCCAACACGTGTTGTTGCCATAAACCATGTTTTGTGGGTCCTTGATAGCGAAAAATCGAATGACGGCAAAACGTATGTGCGCGTGTCTGTCCGTCTGTGAACATCGCTAACGGCTAAACAGTTCAGCCGATTTTCTCCAAAATTGATACTCTCTATTCAATCTAGCTGGTGTCGCGGTCCTTTGAATTTGAAACCGATATTTTAATTTTGGGGGCTACTTTACATGAAGATCCTGGGACATTTTTTAAAAAAAATGGCTCCATCGCTTTTGATTGAATTTTTTTGTTCGATTGTTTGAAGGACGTTTAAGGAGATGATGCAGTTCTCGTAGTAGTTGAAAAACCCTATTTTTCGAAAATTGCAAAAGTTCAAAATTATTTCGAAGAGTTTTATTTATAAAGAGTCTTTCAACTAAAATATTAAAGATTGAGATTTTTCATTAATGAAATCTATTCCTTTAAGGTAAATTTAAAATAAGTTTCTGTTCAATTTTTCGAAAATTTGACAACTCTTCGCGTAATTTTTCGTGAAAATAGGGTGAGAAAGAAGTGTACCACGAGTTGGCGTTAGCTACACAGCTAGATAGAAATCAGTCGTTCTCTGGAGGAGAATTCCAGCTGTCGGCTGCTCTGATCGGTTGTCTGTTAATTAAATTTTAATCACGCTTTACACACTTGCTTCTGTTCACAGAAAATTATATTAGATTTCGTGAGAATGAAGGTCTAATTTACGTATCCCAAAACAGAAAAGTAAATAAATAATTAAAATTGATACATTTTTTATTCATTCAAGGTATTTCTTTCCAGTGCCTTCTTTTCTGAAGAGAGAATGCTACAAGGATATTTTGAAGCAGCTACTCCCTAGGTTGGTACACCATCATATGTGAGATTTTGGACGTTTTAGAGCACTGAAGAATATCACTGTTTGTGATAGTATTTCTTGGTTTTCTTTGTCTTTAAACAGGAAATGAATATCATAAGAAAGTGATGTTGAAGTCTTCCTCGGCCATAGTCATGTAACACATCAGCCCTCACGAAGAACAGAACATGATAGACGAAACGTCGGCATCGCAACCTTCGACGCAGTGTCCAGCAAACAAACAAGATAGTTCGAATATCGGAAGGAAATGGAATTCCCTCACACGAGCACTATAGTTGCATTCATGGAATTTCGTGAAATACTGAATATCTTTCTAAAGAATATCAGTCAAAAAACTTAATACTGATTTCCCAGTGTTCAGAATTTACATCTGCATCAACTGACTGTTAAATAGTATTGTTTTCGACGACGTGTCTCATTTATGGTGGCTTTTTTATGTTAATATAAGTTGGTATTACAAAAACATTTACTTGACACTACCTTTCAATTTATTACACACAATTTGTGAATGGTATTGGTATTTCTTTTAGTTTTCACAATGCCTGTAAATACTCCATTGCAAAAATACACAATCATATTTACAATAAAACAATGCAAAAATACTTCTCGAAGATAAATGTATGTCATGCCTGTTCTGTCGATTAAACATGAGTGGACCAATGTATAATTTTCTGTTCTATCTTAACGCGGCACCTCCAACGAGTATTTTCATTATAAAAAATTTAATTTGTGATCCAAGTTCGTAACTAGGGGGCGGATTTTGGTGACTTAAAACATTGGCAAAAAATGATCTAAAATGCTTTTAAAATGTTTTTAAAATGTTTTTAAAATGCCCTAAAATCAAAGAAAAAGTATGTAAAAAATGTTAACAAATGTCGTTTAATGTCGGTTGAACAAATTAAGTTGTTGGATACGGCACAGGAACCTTAGATTACATACTCACAATGGCTGACATTACAAGTTCTGAGGAAAGAAATAGAATAAACTAAGATGTGAAAAACAGTTGTCTCGTAAATGTTATTTGAAGTAAACACAAGTTGTTACAGTAAAATTATATCAAAACCTATGAAATCATCGAAAATGCATTACAAGTAATGAAAAATGACTTATTAGTCGAAATCGACCATAAATGCAAAATAATGACGTATCACAGAAACAAAAGAACCGTTGGAGTATACCACATCCTTGATACTGTAACAAGGAAGCTTGTTACAGTTACATGGATCTGGTATACTCCAACGGTTCTTTTTTGTGTGTAAAAATGGGTAATTTCGAGTTGTCTTCACATAAAACGAATTCGTATACTAAACGGCATTTTTCTAAAGTGAAAAGAAAAAAATGACATTTCATTACATTCCGCCCCCTATTCATAACCGTCCGTCGCCCTGCTCGTCCATCTGGGCCGCCGGCAACGACCGCTCGTGAGCGCCATCTTGTCGAAGGCGGGGGCCGTCGCCGGCCGCCAGCACAAGCGACGTCTTGCCGTCGTGGGAACAAGGAAAGTTGTTACAGTATCATGGATCTGGTGTACACGAATGGTTCTTTTTTTCGGTGTAAAAATGAGTAATTTCGAGTTGTCTTCACATAAAACGAATTTGTACACTAAACGGCATTTTTCTAAAGTGAAAAGAAAAAAATAACATTTCATTAGACTCCGCCCCTTCTTCATAATCGTCCGTCGCCCTGCTCGTCCTTCTGGGCCGCCGGCAGCCGAGTCGGCAAAGAGCTCCCCTCGGCGCCATCTTGTCGAAGGCGGGGGCCGTCGCCGGCCGCGAGGTCGAGTGGCGTCTTCCCGTCGTGGGACCGCGCGTTGACGCTGGCTCCGGCCCTGAGCAGGCGGTAGACGGCGTCCAGGTGCCTGCCTTGGGCGGCCGCGTGCAGCGGCGTGCGACCTTGAAAATCTGCAGCGCGAACGTCCGCCCCGTACAGCAGCAGGATGTTGACGCAGTCCGTGTGCCCGCCGGCTGCCGCCAGAGCTAGCGGCGTCCTGCCGTCGGCCGTTCGCGCGCTCACGTCCGCCTCGGCCTTGAGCAACAGGTCGACCAGGCCCACTCGCCCTGCCTGGGCCGCGGTGTGGATAGGCGCGCGCCCGCGGACGTCGGCCGCGTTGGCGTCGGCGCCGCCTTTCAGCAAGTACACGGCGCAGTTGGCGTGCCCGTTGCCGATCGCGAGCGCCAGCGGCGTCTCGCCGTCCGCGGACTTGGCGTTGGCGTCCGCGCGGGCCTTGAGCAGGTAGTAGACGACGTGCAGGTGGCCGCCTTCGGCCGCTGGGTGAAGCGGCGTGTGCCCGGCCAGGTCGGCCGCCGCCACGCTCGCCCCTCTCTTCAGCAGGAGGTCGACGCAGTCCGCGTGGCCGCCGCCCGCCGCCAGAGCCAGCGCCGTCGCTCCGCGCAGGCACTTGGCGTCCACGGCCGCGCCGCCGTCCAGCAGCGCCAGTGCGGCGGTCACGTGGCCGCGGGCGGCGGCGCGGTGCAGGGCGGTGCGCCCGCGGGCGTCGGCCGTGTCCGCGGCGGCGCCCCGCGACAAGAGGAACGCCGCGCAGCTGAGATGGCCGTTTTCGGCCGCCAGGGCGAGGGCGGTGTCGCCCTGAAGCGTCCGCGCGTCCACGTCCGCTCCGGCGGTCCAAAGAACTTCCACCACGCTCCGGTGACCTTACAAGAATACCAGTTATAATAATAGAAATATATTAATATTATAATAATAACAAGAATATAATATTAATACTGTAAAACACGTAAAAACAGCTTTTCAAATATTGCATCGTTCCGCCCGGATATTATACTGATATTATCCTAATATTTGCCCAGTGGTTCTATATTCCGGATATCAGTTGACACAATTCGATTTTTTGGACAACAAAAATGACGTATTCGCTTGTTGTTCACTGCCTTGACACTGTTGTCGGTATGAAAAAGGAAAAAAGCTCCCTGTCTCGTAGAGTTTGAACCACCATTTAGCTCAACAGAATTTTTGCAGCTTTGGCAACGAGTAGTGTCCTAATTTATATATCTTTACTTTACGATACCTTCGCTTGACACTGTTGTCGGTAAGAAAAAGAAACAAGGCTCGTGCCTCGTAAAGGGTTTGAACCACCATTTAGCTTAACAGCAGTTTTGGAGCTTTAAGCAACGAATAGTTTCCTAATTTATATATATTTACGTAATGGTGAAGTCGTAGGCTTCCGCGGCCAGAGTCATGTGGGTGATCTGAGCTGTCCGGGTGACGCCGCGTCGAAGGCTGAGTTGCCGACGTTTCGACCATCCTGCCGTGGTCTTCCTCAGGGCTGGCATACCAGGATGGTGATATCAGGATGGTCGAAACGTCGGCAACACAGCCTTCGACGCGGCGTCACCCGGACAGCCCAGATCACCCACTTACGTAATGGTACCTTCGTTAACACTGTTGTCGGTATGAAAAAGGGAAAAAAGCATTTGTCTCGTAAAGGATTTGAACCACCATTTAGCTCAACAGCATTTTTGCAGCTTTAGGCAACGAGTAGTGTCCTAATTTATATACCTTTACGTTATGATACCTTCGCTTGACACTGTTGTCGGCATGAAAAAGGAAAAAAACTTCATGTCTCGTAAAGGGTTTGAACAACCATTTAGCTCAACAGAATTTTTGCAGCTTAAGGAAAACAAGTAGTGTCCTAATGTATATGCCTTTAAGTTACGATACCTTCGCTTTACACTATTGTCGGTATGAAAAAAGGAAAAAAGCTTCCTGATTCGAAAAGTCTTTGAACCACCATTTAGCCCAACAGCAGTTTTGCAGCTTTAGGCAACGAGTAGTGTCCTAATTTATATATCTTTACTTTACGATACCTTTGCTTGACACTGCTGTCCGAATGAAAAAGGAACAAGGTTCGTGTCTCGTAAAGGGTTTGAACCACCATTTAGCTCAACAGCAGTTTTGTAACGAGTAGTGCCCTAATTTATATATCTTTACGTTATGTTACCTTCGCTGGCTGCGTCGTGCAGTGGTGTCCTGCCGGCGTCGTCCGTGCTGTGGACGAAGGCTGCGTCTCTGCTGATGGCGCGCGCGCACGCTGCAAGTCCGTGGACCGCCGCCAGGTGGAGGGTGGATTTTCCTTTAGCGCTTCCGGCGCACTCCCCAGCTTCCGGAGCAAACAGCAAATCCACCACATTTGGGGAGCTGACCCCGGCGGCGGTGTTCGGCAACCGGCCTCCTTCCGATTCAGCGTTGCCCGCGTGTGAAGGAGTGTCTGCTTTCATACCCTGCGAGTACACGGTGAAGAAAATGTTTTTATCAAATACAATAAACCTGATATAAAAAACAATATATATATATATATATATATATATATATATATATATATAACAAACGATTTATAAAAAACAATAAAACAAATAACCTGTCTAAAGGACGCAAAATTGCTTCCCGGGCAAAAAATCTCAGAACGGAACGATTTTATACGTGGAAATGACCTCTATAAGCCGGAATTCTGTCTAACGCGGAAACGGAAGGGTTTTTAGAGAACGTAAAGTTAATATTATCTGGCTAATAATGACATTCATTTGGAAATTTCCAACACACTCTTTGAAATGACAGAATGATTATGTTATGAGAAAACAGAGTGTACGACGAGTTCTTCCTCTTTTACCTGCTGTCAAGGAATCTCGGTTGAACTCTGCGACTGTTTCGCTACGACTTTCTTACTCTTTGTGTGCTTTTCAAGGTCGCAACAAAAGAGACTTCGCTGTCTCTCCGAATCTCTACTGTTGTGGTCGTCCGCACCCCGTTCAATTATCAAAAGCGTCACTCACTTCCTTATGGTAATAATGAAATTCCAGGAAGTATTTTGTCATCCTAGCGTAGGAGACGTAGACATGACGAGGGGCAGACCACAGAATTTTGTGAACTCTCGCAGTGTAGTGTAAGAAAGCAAAGTGCTAGTGTGCTAAAATATCTATACAGCGTACTTGCAAAACCCTTTCTCTACAGAGGAAAACGCGGAAGAAACTCCTGTCTTATATTTTCCCTGTGTTTTGTTCATTTTTTATTTCCTGCAATATTTTAATAAAAAATGTGCTATATTCTCTACATATTGTCTCACTAACAAAATATCGAAAATACTGTTCTCAAGTTGTATGGCAAGTTTTTGACAACTCTCTATAAGACGGAAACTTGCCAAAAAGAAAAGTTTTTAAAGGAACCGTTAAGTTCAGTCTTAGACATGTTTTACTGTATATATACAAATCTCATTGTCAAGAATATAGGGATCATGTTTGAGTAATAGGGAAAAGAAGTGGGGTATGGAGAAGTGATAAATTAAATTTGGCTTGCACAAGTCGAAACTGCGTCTATTCAGGTCAAATTAGATAATATTTAGGTAATTATTTATAGGTACAACTTTCGACACAATTATTAGACTTGAAATGATAAGCCAAACTTCAGCTTAGGGTGCCCAGACTCGGCACGTCCCCGGCCGGAGCAAGCTCTAAACTCCCGACTGGTCTCTGGACATGTGTTAGTATAGTGCATGTTAGTGTAAGTGTAGGTAAGTAATGGGTGAGGATAGGGAATGGAGAAGGAAGGCAAATTCGCACACGGTCCGAAGCCTGCTTGTTAAGGTACATCTCCGGCATTCACCTGCTATTGATCGAAGAAACCACGCAAAACTAGCAATGAGAGCAGCCGACCTCAAGAATTCTCCTCCAGACAACGGCTGAATACGTAGCTAGTGTCGCAAAACCTCGTCACCGTCAGGGCCCGAACCCTAGTACCAAACCACCCAAAGGTATTGCAGTGACATCAATTGAATCGTGAAACCCGTCAAACGCCAAATTCCTCATTCCGATGAAAAATGAAAATAAGTCTCCCAATTTTTGAGATTTCAATTTTTTTTAATTAAAGGAGTTGATAAATGAATTTTTTAAATATAAATATGCAGTATGTGATGTGTCCAACCGCCTGGGAGAAATCATCTGTCGCTAAAGCGTGTTTTAGTTTTTGGCGTTTGGCGGGTTTCTGAAATAAACGATTCAATTGTGTCCGCTAATCCGGGAAAATAAATCCGTGCGGGAATCAGTGAATCAGTGAATCGTACCACGGTGTCTGTGTGGGTCGCGGGAAGCACCGCGTGGTCCGCCGTGAGCAGCTCCGCCAGCATCTCGTCCAGGAAGTGCAACAGCACGCCTCCGCCGCCGCCGCCGTCGCCCCCACCGTCTCCAGGCGCCGCTCTCGCAATCAAAGAGCGCGCCACCGCCCGCGCCACCGCCGCCGTCTCCTCCCGCTGGGGAAGCCATTCAGAAAAACATCAACGATCGAGATTGATTTTGAAGTTAATGGTTAGCAACATCGACGTTCGGTGTTCAAAGTTTTCTGGCAGCGATCTCGGCCATTTGATCAGCATATGTATGTATATGTATATGTATGTATATGTATATATATATATATATATATATATATATATATATATATATATATAATATATATATATATATATATATATAATATATATAATATATATATAATATATATATAATATATATATATATATAATATATATATGTGTGTGTGTTTAAAATAAAAAAACAGTTCATCATAACACAAATCTATAATAATATTCAGATACCCATACATTTATAAATTGATTAGTTCTTAGATGAATTGGCCGAAGGCGATAAATAAATAAAATCGTGTTGTCAGTAAAGAGACTTTTTTGAATTATGGAATGAGATAAACCAAGTTTTGTCAATCATTGTTTTACCAGTCGAATTTCAATTAAAAATATTAATCAACGAGACCATCTTCAAACTAAATCCACTTCCCTTTCGTGAACTTCAATAGTTACTAATCCAGCTACAAAAACAATCGATGGTATATTTATTTATTTAAGTCAAAAACTGTGTGTGACTTGATACGGGGAGACGTTAATTTGAAGTGACATTTGTGTCCAGAAACAAAACAAGAAGCCATCTTAGCAATTGCTCGAAGATCAGAGAAACTGGACGAAAACCAAATCGAGATGGAGGTCACTGACTCAGAAGCTGATGTACAATACTTGTTACAGGTTCTTTAGAATTACACAATCCAACTGGTAAATAATACATTAAATGTCTAATAACAAATGTTTCGATGTTTAATAACACGGTCGGTACATTAACGTAGATGTGTTCATTTTGAGCATCGATGTTTGGAAACATGGACGTTTTGTTGGCGAGTTGGCATGCCTGCCTACCTGCGACGCCACGTTGGCGCTGAGCCACGCCGCCGCGAAGTACTCGACGAGCGTGTAGTGGACGAAGCGGGGCGCGCGGTCGTCGTCCAGCCACATGACGCCCGTCTTCATCCTTTGGAGGACCTCCAGGTTGTCGTCCACGTACGCCTGAAAGGGCTGCGGGTCCACTTCTTCAAACCGCTTGTCTGAGACCTGAAGCGTAGAACATGCTGGTTACAAATGTTCCACTCTTGCTTCATTTTATGTTTACTTGTTGTCGAGTCCCTTATTTTAAATTTTTAAATTACAATCACAATGAAAACTGTCAAAAATTATTTTTTCACATAAATATTTTATTCACTAGTGTTAAGACGTTTCGGAGACTGCTCTGTCTGCGAATTCCGAAATTCTGTCCCCGAAACTGAAACTTTAATTATAAAATGTTTCATGACGCCAAAATGATTTTCACAAAATTACAAAAATAACAAATATATTTATACTGTACCCAATTCAATAGACAGAACACTAGTGAATAAAATATTTATGTGAAATTTTCGCAGTTTTCATTGTGGTTGTCCATAATTTAAAATAAGAGATTAAACTACAAGTAAATAGAATTATATGGTGACAATCAATTAAAAAACTTAATCTTCATTTTATTACCAGAGTTTTGTTATTTTCTAATATTCTACCTTGTCTTATAGAGAAAGTATTGTATAGCTGCGGCGAGATATATCGATATTTTGTCACAAAAAGTGTTTTTGTGGACCATTGATACCAAAAGAGAAGATTTTCTTGTTCATGCGCTGTTGATTACTTACTCGAGAGCATAGTTTAGTAAGAAAGCACTCTCCGTTGAGCGGTGAAATCGATAAAGTCCTCAGAGGAGCGGTAGGTACCGTCAGAAGCCATGGAAGGTCTTTTGGGCGCCGATAGATAGCAGCTGGGAAAACGATGAAACGAAACCTAGCGTGGATTGAAGAGAAGAGGAAACCTTCTTGTACGAGATAATCTGCGCCCTTCTATAGCAACGCTAGTTGTATTTTTACACGAATGTCACAAATAATGGGAAAAAATATGTGATGTTGAAGCACCACTAGTTTATCCAAATGTTCTCAAAAGAGACGAAAATGCAAACCTATACAGTGCTGTTTTGCTTCCGGAGCATAACAAATTCTGGAAGAAAGTGTAGAAAGTCCCAAAATAGTTTGTTGTAAACATATTCTCTAAATTATTATTTAGAGTTATTTAGAGAGATTTAATGTTCTGTACTCGTATGCCAGCTACATGAGCCCGAAAAGTTCCGTAAAATACCAAATGTGCGTCTGTACGGCAGAGTTCCTGCATTTGAGAATCTCCAATGTGGCTGGAACACCTTTGTTAATTGTAGACGCATTCTATACTTTACATCTGAGAAGTGATTCATATTCACTTTAAACAAACAACCATTTTAAATATTGTATAAAACGTTTTATAAATGCTGGCTCTAGTTCAGAGTATTGGAAACGGAACTTCAGAACCTTCCAATTTTGGAAAAATTTTGGAAGAGGAATTAATTATCCCGTGCGAAAAGTTATAAATTACTTTTCTGAGTCTTTATTAAGTTAATGAACATTCATACATATAGAAAAAATAAAGGATGTGAATTCGAATAAAGAATATATTTTTATCTTTTCGCATTGTTGAGGCTGCGAAATATTCGTAGATACATTGGGAGAGCAATTAGCAGGAACTGCGAGGAACATCGATACTTTTTCATCAGACAAGAGTGTTCTGGAAAAGAAACGTCACACAATTGACAAATATTGTCACTTGGAGAAAGAATCAACGAGTATTGAAGAGATTGTCATGGTTACCTCTATCCAAACGAAATCAAATGTTTCGTTACGAATTTCGTCGTTTTTTACTGCGCTTTCTGCACTTCGCCTCTGATGACAATGCAAGCTCGACCCGTCTGCAATGGAAATCGCTGAATTGTCAAAATTTTGACAATGTCTACGCATGTTTTCGCACGAGGAGCTGCCCAGGAGCTGATGTAATCTTTCGGTGACCTTCCGAACTAACAGGAAGCAGTTGACAATCTACGTCAAGGAACTTCGTACGAAAGAAGTGTGTTTGATCAACTGGGAAGAAATTTGCGCGGCCTTTTTTGATTAAATAAGGATTTCCTAGGAGAGAAGTTTGAACTGCATGATCTTTTCCTCTGAAACGCCTTCAAAGATTATTAAAAGTGCTTTATTCCAAACAAGGCGCCAAATTTGAAATAATTTGGCGGTCAATGCCAACAGGCATATTATACGTTACGAGCATTTACGTACATGTCATTATAACGTTTCTCCGCGTAACCTAATTGGACCTAAACCTCTCATGAACGCAGTCTCGGGCCGAGCATTCGGGTGGTGCGTGTGCTTACCAGCAAGATCATGGCGCAGTTCTGATGAATCCGCGAAAAGTAGTCGTCCTGGAAAAAGGGCGCGCACTCGAGGTTGGCGTCGCGGAAGCCGTGCTTCTCCAGGTACTCGTCCTCCTTGAGTCGCACGAACTTCCGGAAGAGCTCGTACAGCTCCAGCGCCCAGCCGCTCTCCAGCGAGCCCGCCGCCTCGGCGTCAAGGAAGATCTCGGCCACCATCTTGAGGTGCAGGGGCGTCGCGAACAGGCTGCCTGCAACGACGCCGTAGCGGTCACACGCCACAAGAAGAACGATTCGATAGGGTTTGCGTTGATTGGTTGGTTGTTAGTGATTTCGGACACGTCTACTACTAAGGACATTAGTCCCGTAAGTGTAGTGCTGGTTTCTCTATCTGGAGGTGGCGGTTATCGTGCCCCGCTGGATGGCGAGGTGCTGCGCCGACCTATCGTTGGTTAGCGGGGTTTCCCAAAATCAGATATCTCCCACCAGCGAGACACTGACCCTGCCGGGACAAGCTCTAAGCTCCCGACAGGTGTCCCGGCTTGAGTAGTGCGTGTGAGTGTAAGTGTATGTATATGTGGAGAGGATAGAAGAGGAAGAGGTAGGAAAGATCGCGCCCGTTCCGTGGCCCGTTTGTTAGGGTACTGCTCCGACATTTCGCCTGGTGTTGATCGGAGAGACCACGGAGAACTACCGACCAGAGCAGCCGGCCTCTACCATTCTGCTCCAGCCAACGACTGAATTCGATCTAGCTGCCAAGCTAATGTCCAAAGTCATGCCAGTGCCGGGACGCGAACCAAAATCTTCCCGGTCAGAGGCACTGCGGTGACATCGGTTGATGCCACCTCTCCTGGTGATAGTGTTTGGGGAAAGCATGTGGGAAAGGTTTGCTGCTCCGACGCACCGATTTGTGCTCGTTCTACGAAGCAGTAGACACGTCACGAACCACGTGACCACAAACGGGCACTTCGTTTGAAAATCCCAACCAGACGCTGACCGCCTTGTTGCTTAGACGTGTTAAGAAATATTTTCAAAGTGGCATAAAATGACAATTTTCAAAGGCGACCAACCAGAAATAAAGCGATGAAAGTGTATTGATTGAAAAAATTTTATATTTAATAAAATGTTTAGTCTATTTGTTTCAATGGCTAGTAACATGTTGATGATTTTTGCACGTTGCTGGATTTAAAATTATTGCTAATACTGCGATGCAGTCGGGTACATTAAATAAATAAATAAATAAATAAATAGTCTTTATAGGTGGCGAGGCTCAGGCCATTTAGCCTGCTCTTCCGCCTTATCACCATGAAGCTCATTGGCTGAAGCTGGACAGGCTGCGCGGCGGCTCACCCCTATTCTTACATCACGGGAGAGTTACGTCATTTTTGTGATGGTAGAGTTTTGTTGATTAAGTGATTAATTAATTATTGTTTTAGTGTTTACCGACGATGTCAAATCCCGTAAGAATAGTGGCTTTTTTATCGCGAGAGGTGGCGGTGTTTATCTCCCGTTGCGTGACCAACACGTCGGCTTCCGGTGTTTTACCCAACCAGATGTCTTCCGCAGGGCTCCCGACAAGTGAGGTAGTGCAGCGCATGGAAGTGTACGCGTGTGTAAGGAAGGAATGAGGAAAGAGCGCGCGGTTCATGGCCCGTTTTTGTTGTACTGATCAGGCATTCGCCTGTAATTGATAGGGGATACAACGCAGAGCAACCGATCAGAGCAGTCAGCTGCTAGAATTCTCCACCAAAAAGCAGCTGAACTGGTCCCAGTTGTATAGTTAGTGTCGAAAATCCCGCCAACGTCGGAAGTGTAACCCCTCGATCTCGATCACAGGGCACTGCAGTGACATCAGCTAATCCTTTTTTGTGAAGGTATGTGCTTTGTTCTTTAGAGAGTTACTCAGGAATATATATATAATATTCATCACAAATCTACGGTGGATACGTAGTATAACCTTTCTTCAAACTCCCTTTCATGACCGATTTACCTCCACCCTAATACAATCGAATATGCTTGCAGATGAGACCAAAAAAATAGACTTGTAATAAAACCAATAAAATATTTTGAAATCGTAACCAGATAATATTGATAACCGGCATAACCTTCGGTACATTATTTCACTACGTATTGCGAACTGATTTTATTATACATCAAATACACAATAAATTGGAACATAACACTACAGAATAATGTGTATTAACAGGATATATAAGAGCACAACAGGTTTAACAAGATCATTAATTTAACCCTGAATCACCAACATGTTTTAAAGGCAGACTTTAATGTGTTTCTTCCCGTGGAGATCCCCCTATCTTGTTGTGAAACTTCTCAAAATGTACCGGGTGACGTAGCTCATGGCATTAACTGTCATTGCTGTGCCTCTGATCGAGAGATCCGCGGGTTCGAGTTCCGACGGTGATAGAATTTTCGAAGCTAGCTACACAGCTAGTTCGAATTCTGTCCCTATCTGGAGGAGAATTCTAGAGGCCGACTGCCGACTCTGATCGGTAGTTTTACGTGGTTTCTCAGATCAACACCAAACGAATGCCCAAGGAGTACACTAACAAACGAGCCACGTGACGCGCGCGACCATCCCTTCCTCTTCCGTGTCATTTACTCGCTCTTTACTTACACACACTCGCATTCGTCACACTACCACAGATGCCGGGAGATCTGAGTTTGTCCTGGCTGCCCCGCTAGGAGTTCCAGATCGGGGGGAAAACCCGCAAACCGCTGAGTAGGCCGGCGATCTCGCCATCCAGTGAGGGCTTAGTCACTTCCCCCGATAAGAACATGTACGACACTTTCGGGACTAATGACCGTAGCAGTTGACTCTCCTTGATTCAAACGATCTGGGTCCCCGCGGAGGGCCAACGCACCCACCTGCCTCGGAGTCTGCGGGGACGTGGTTGCCAATGGCGTCCAAGAGGCGCTCCGCGCTCTCCGGGGCGAGCGCGCTGCGCGGGCCGAGGTCGTGGGCGAAGCGCGCTATCCACTAAGCGATTTGTCACTTCCCCCGATATTAACATGTAGGACCCTTTCCGGACCAATGACCGTAGCAGTTGACTCTCCTTGATTCAAACGATCTGGGTCCCCGCGGAGGGCCAACGCACCCACCTGCCTCGGAGTCTGCGGGGACGTGGTTGGCAATGGCGTCCAAGAGGCGCTCCGCGCTCTCCGGGGCGAGCGCGCTGCGCGGGCGGAGGTCGTGGGCGAAGCGCGCCGTCAGGAACCGGCACTGCTCCTCGCGCGTCAGCGGCGTCAACGACACGCAGGTCCCGCCCAGCACGCTGAGGAGAGGTGCTTGCACCTGCGGGGAAACAGAAGATCGGTCAAATCGCAGTGTTGGGAGTGGAAGATACTCTGTGTGATCAAAAGTATCGGGACACGTTCAAAATGGACGGACGGTGAGACCACGATGTGTTTGATGTCGTGTTTTTCATGGAGGGGGCTTGCACCCCTTGTTGATTTGTGTGGCATTATTACGGCACAAACCTACGCTGATGTTTTAAACACCTTCTTGCTTCCCAATGTTGAAGAGCAATTCGGGGATGGCGATTGTATCTTGCAACACGTTCAAACACCTGTTCATACTGCACGACCTGTGGCGAATAACATCCCTGTAATGGACTGGCCTGCACAGAGTTCTGACTTGAATACTATCGAACATCTTTGGACTGTTTTGGGACGCCGATTTCGTGCCAGGCCTCACCGACCTACATCGATACCTCTCCTCAGTGCAGCACTCCGTGAAGAATGGACTGATATTCTCCAAAGAACCTTCCAGCACCTGATTGAAAGTAGGCCTGCGAGAGTGGAAGCTGTCATCAAGGCTAAGGGTGGGCCAACACCCTATTGAATTCCAGCATTACCGGTAAAGAGCGCCACGAAATGGTAAGTCATTTTCAGCCACGTGTCCGGGTACTTTTGATCACATAGTGGACCAGTTTTTCAATCTTATCATGTAACTGGACTGTATCAACTACAGTGATGGTACTCAATGTGCGTTAACCATAAACGAAGATAACGGAACACCAGTAGAGACTCCTGAGACATTTAACGTTCGACTGAATGCACCCAAATTAATTCAGTGAAATCGTCTTTTATATTACTTAACAAGCGGAAAATAAATAGCGAATCGGAGAATTTCCGAAAAGTGCTTACGCAAAAAGTTTATAATTTGCAATGCCACGTATTGCCACACCAAATAACGTCTTGCAAACGGACGTAAAAGAAGCCTTAGAGCTAAATGTAATTTGCCAGTTTCGTCGCCTGAATGATAACTGTCTTACTCCGGTAGACGATAAAGGAACGTAGGAAAATTGTACGGCCAGACATGAATCGCACGTCAAAAAATATATCACTGATTGATTGGAAGGAAGGAAGCGGAGTTTGGGACTGATTAAAAAGAGAGACCGGTCGAAAATTGACGAGCCACACTCAACACTCAAGACCACAAACAATCCCCTGTGGACACACAGGCGTTATGAACGGACAATTACAGAACGCCAAACAACTGATAACGTTCACCAACACGTCAGACCACGAACAATCCCCCGTGGACACACAGTCGTCATGAACGGATGATTACAATATACCAAACAACTGCTAACGTTTACGTCTACTACTTATTCACCTCCGGTCTCGAGGACACCCACACGGGCGCCGCCCGCGTCTCCATCAGCAGCAGCTGCAGCAGGCGCAGCACTTTGTCCTTGAAGGCCGGGCACAGCTCGTCCACGCCGTCCATAAACACCGCCGCCGCCCCCGCGCGCAGAGCTGCGCGCAGACTGCGCTCTGTCGCCACCGCGCTCGACCCGGCGCCCGCCGCTCCCACCAGCAGCTGCTCCAGGTGGGCCAACGTGAGCGCTGCAAAAAAAGACAAAAAAAACTTCCGATATCAATTTTTATATCAGAACAGTTAAGAGATTATTTCAGGGGCAGGGAGATTTTCATGTGGTGGAATGGAAAAGGAGATTAGGGACATGGAGACCGGTGATATTAGTTTTGACTCCTCGCTCCACCCCGCGCCTGCAGCTGCTCCAGGTGGGCCAACGTGAGCGCTGCATTAAATGACAACTTCCGATTCAGTTTTGACATTTGGACGGTTAAAAGGGCTTCTAGCGGAAGGGGAGATTTACAGTTAAGAGGGCTTCTAGCGGTGGAATGGAAAAGGATAATAGTATCACGGACACCGGTGATATTAGTTTTGACACCAAGATCAACCCCGCCCCCACCAGCAGCTGCCACAAGTGAGCCAACGTGAGCGCTGCAAAGAAAGACAACTTCCGATATCAGTTTTGATATTTGGACGGTTAAGTGCGCTTCTAGGGTAAGGGTGTTTTTTATGTGGTGGAACGGAAAAGTAGAATAAGGACACTCATATCGGTGATATCAGTTTTGACACCACGCTCCACCACGCGCCTGCCGCCCCACCCGCAGCTGCTCCAGGTGTACCAACGTGAGCACTGCGAGAGAACACGACCAGGGCTTTGGGGAGGTACGCTGAGATGGGTACTAAACTAGCGTCTGATACACCTTTTTACTAAGAGCGATATCAGCGTAATGGAGATTTCATTGTGAGGGAACACAAAGAAAGACACGGAAACAGATATAAGTGAAATCAGTTTTGACTTTGGGGATGTCAAGGGTGCTAGCGGCGGAAGAGTTCAGTGTAGAGATACAGAAAAGAAAGTTAGAGGGACGGGCACCAGTGTTATCAGTGTCGACATTTGTACAGTTAAGAAAATCTGCCAGCGGACGGAGATTTGAATGGGAAGAAACAAAAAACGGAGAAAAAAGGAGGCGGGAAACCGCGATGTCAGTTTCAACGTTCGCACTGTTATGAGTCGTACCATGAGAAAAGGAGACTTCAAAATGGAGGATTGAATAGGGGGATACGGAGTCGGACATGGCCAACATTCATTTACACAATAGCACTATGAAGTGTGGTACCACGGAAAAGATATTTCCATGAGACAGAACGACAAATAGGGTAGGGAGATAGGCAACGCCGACATTAGATTAGACAATTTGATCGCTAAAATCGCTATCAGAGGAAGGGAGATACCAATATGGAGCAATGAATAGGAGAACAGGAGACGGGCAGCGCTGACATTAGATTGTTAAAAGCGCTACCAGCGGCCGGAAAATTTCAAAGTGGAAACGCGTTTAGGGAGAAGGTCACTGCCGAGATTAATTTTTACAATTGGAGAGTTAAGAGCGGTACCAGTGGCTGGAAGGTACTGTACGTATGTTGGTTGGGCTATCCGGGACGAGCCGCGTCAATGCTCTGAGCGCAGTACGTCCTGAAGAAGGCCACAATACGCTGGCCGAAACGTTAGCCACCATGACATAGACGCGGCTCGTCCCGGATAGCCCAACCAACATAAACTCCGGCCGCGGAAGCCTACGCAACCAGATACTGAACGTATTTTCCACACACATTTTTACGCCGCGTGCAATCCAGTCTCAAGCAATTCCACCCCAAACGCGAGCCCTGCTTCTCACCGTGCGCCGCCGGCATTCGGCCGAGGACCCTGCGGTGCGCCTGAGCGTGCACGAACACGGTCCAGCGCGCGGGCTCCCGGCTGCGCGCCGCCGTCGCCGCGCGAAAGAAAAGACGTTTGCCGCGCCGGGCGGCCCCACAGAGCAGCGCGCGCGCGCGCGCGCCACGCCGCGCCGTCCCCCTCTTTTCCGGCGGCGCGCGCCGCCCCGTGCACGACACGCGGGCTCGCGCGCGCACGTCGCCGCCGCCGGCCGCACCAGCGCCGCCAGGGCGTCCCGAAGCCCTCGCGTGCGCCGCCATACCAGCGGCTGCGGGCAGAGACCTCTCACGTAAATGCATTGCAATCGTTTTTTCAACATGTTAAGATTAATTTCTTTTTTTGAATTATTATTATTATTTTATGTCAGCGTTAGCATGATAGGTTTAATATACTGATCTTCTAAAATTGTATTAAGTAATATATAAATACTGTAATGTTTCTTTGATTGTTTTGCGAATTGTAATCGTTTGTAATCGTTTTGCGAATATCTTAAGATTTTTTTTGAATTATTATTATTTTATGTCAGCTTTTTCATGATATACTAATACATAACACATTATATACTAATCTTGTAAAATTGTATTAAGTAATATATAAATAGAGTAATGTTCCTTTGATTGTTTGTGTATTTGTAGTAACTACTTATAAAACGCTACCACCGGAAATATTCCATGAATTCCTAAGTAACAATATAAATATTCTATTCTATTCCGAGTAACTGGTAAAATCTATTGTAACTTCAATTTAACGTCTCCCCACAGCACGTCACACACAGTTTTTAACTGTTTTTGGGCGTAAATTAATAATTAAATAAGTAAAGCTAGCACCGTCTAAAAACCAATTTCAACCAAACTACATCCAAAATTTTAGGTTGATTTGAGGCTAATTAAAGGCTCTATTCCCGAATTTTAGGCTCTTTTGGATTTCTCAAAATAGGAGGCGCTGATAGCGTTAGAGTAAAGCTAGCAGTGCCCAACTAAAATTTAACTAAAAATAAATTGAAAATTATGAAACCACGCCCAAAATTTAAGATTAATTAGAGGCTCTAGGAAAGCCATTATTCCCGCACTTGCATTAAAAAAAGCAGGGCCGTATAAAGAGAAACAATTAACATTGGTTTTTATAAGAGAATACACATAAAAATCAATATGGGTGTGTATTCACCAATAAGAACCATTGTCAATTGATTCTATTGAGAGGGAGACAGAGAGAGACAAAAAGAGACAGAAAGACAGAGAGAGACACAGAGAGAGACAAAGAGAGTAAGAGGCAGAGAGACAGACAGAGAGAGACAGAGACAGATAAAGATAGAGACAAAGAGGGACAGAGACAAAGGCAGAGAGACAGAGAGGACAGAGAGACAAAGAGAGACATAGAGTGACAGGTAGACAGAAAGAGACAGAGAGACAGAAAGACATAAATAGAGAAAGAGAGACAAAGAAGGACACAGAGAGAGACAAGGAGGGACAGAAAGAAAATAGCGAGAGCGCTGCAGAGAGAGACAGAGAGAGACAAAGAGAGGCAGTGAGGCAGATAAAGACAGAGACAAAGAGGGGCAAAGAGAGACAGAGAGGGACAGAGAGAGAAACAGACAGACAGAGAGAGGGGGAGGGAGTTGAAGCGCAGCACATGGCTGTCCGTTCCCCTACCGACGTAGCCGCGTCGAAGGAAGAGTTCTCGTTCGGGGCCGCCAAGCACTCCACCCAGTGGACGTTCCGGGCGCTGAACTTGGAACTGGCGGCGCCGAACGCCGCTTCTATCTTCGCAGGAGAACCGTTCTCCAGCACAGTCCATCTGCACATTCAGCGCACGTCTCTCATACAGTGGAAACTTGTGGCTTATAGATAACATGAGGCGCACGATAGAATTACAAATAAAGAAAAATACATTTGCTGAGATATTACACCACGTTAAAAATGTACGACAAAGAAAAAACATAGTTTTAAATCGAACGTCCAGATAGTGCAGCCAGGTGTTGCACTCAGATGCTACTCTCGTTTTCCGTTGAAGGCCTTGAGAACACAGTCCATGGTTCGTTGCAGAGCCCCCAGTAACGACCAGGGCTCGATTTAAATCCCAACGTGACAAGGATGGTTCTGCACCAAACTATTCTGCTGCGAGCACTGTGTCCTAAGAAGGAAGAAGAAAAGGAAGAAATGAGGAACAAAAGAGGAAGAAGAGGAAGGAGAGGAGGAAGAAGAAAAAAGAGAAGATGAATAAGAAGAGGAAGAAGAAGTAAAAGTTGAAAAGGCGAAAGAAGAGAAAGAAGAGGTTCAAGATAAGAAGGAAGAGGAAGAAAAAGAGTAAGAAGAAGAAAGGAAGAAGAAGAGAAAAAATAAGAAGGGGAGGAAAGAAAAGAGAAAAATTAAGAAGGGGAGGAAGAAGACAGAACATGAAGAAAAAAGGAGAAACAACAGGTATAAAAAAGAAAGAAGTGCAAGTCGAAAAAGTAGAAGAAGTCAAAGAAAAAGAGGAAGAAAAAAGAAGGGAAAGAAGAAAAGGAAGAAGAGAAAGAAGAATAAGATAGGAAATCAAGAGGTTTAAAAAAGGAAGAAGTGCAAGTTGAAAAAGGGAAAGAAGAAGAGAAAAAGAAATATGAATAAGAAGAAGAGAGAGAAGAAGAAAAGCAAGAACGATAGGAAGAAGAGAAAGAAGAAGAAAAGAAAGAAGGATAAGATGAAGAGAAAGAAGAGAGGAACAAGAATAGGAAGAAGGTGAGTAAATTAAAGAAGGGGAAAAGAAGAAGACGAAAAGTAAAACAGAAATATGACGGAAAAGAAGAAGAAGAAGAAGAAGAAGAAGAAGGAGGAGGAGGAGGAGGAGGAGGAGGAGGAGGAGGAGGAGAAGGAGAAGGTGAAGGAGGAGAAGGAGGAGGAGAAGGAGAAGGTGAAGGAGGATGAGGAGGAGGAGGAGGAGGAGGAGGAGGAGGAGAAGAAGAAGAAGAAGAAGAAGAAGAAGCTGTCCATGTAACCCACCTGTCGTTCATTTCGTCCAAGGACCACCCGAGTCTGCATCGCAGGCGCTTCAGTGCGTCCGCGAGGGGTGGGGGGCCGGTGACGACGAGGTGGTCGCGGGGAGAGGCCAGGCACAGCACAGCCGGCTCCAGGGCGCTGGGGTGTTGGAACGAGCGCGGAATGTACAGGCGTTCGGCCTCCTCTTCCTCGCCGCCCGCGGCCGGCAACGCGTCGCCCAGCGCCGCCTCGCCCAGCGCCAGGCCGCCCAGCAGCGCGCCGTCCGCCTCCGCGCGCAGCCCGGGCCACGCCCCCTCCAGCTCGCGCAGCCGCACAGGCTGGCCCTTCAGGAGCATTAGGAGATACATTGATGTGTCCGAGGCCGGGCCACGCCCCCTCCAGCTCGCGCAGCCTCACGGGCTGGCCCTTCAGGAGCATTAGGAGATACATTGATGTGTCCGAGGCCGGGCCACGCCCCCTCAAGCTCGCGCAGCCGCACGGGCTGGCCCTGCAGAAGCATTAGAGGATACATGGATATTTTCGAAGCAGCGGTACGCCCCTCCAGCTCCTGCATCCTCACGGGTTGTCTGTACCGGTTATAGAGTGATAGATTGTACTCAGGATCGTGCTATACCCATCTAACTCCAGACATAAGGGATGATCCTTGGGGTAGATTGGGTGATTAATTGTTTCGTGAACGTCAACTTCTATGTTCTAATAAGAGTTCAGAACTAATAGTCCTGAATGTTTATTGACGGGAGGCGACAGAGTTTCTGCTTCTCCCCAACGTGAAATGAGGCGCCGACCTACACGTCAGTAATCCCTATTCAGGATCCTCAGGAGGACACCGCCCCAATCGGGTCGAGCTCTAATTTCCCGTCACCTCTTCCGTCATGTATGTGTGCAGGTGAAATTATATTTTACTAAGCGGAGAGATTCAGGCTATTGTGACGTCATGGATACTTACAGCGAACACAGACACAGAGCTTTCATATAACAAATATATTTATTTTACAAAGAAAACACAACAAATATTTACAATTAATTTCTTTCTTACACCCTAGCTCTGATAGACCTACTATCCCCTGATCGCGGGAGCGATCCAAACCCGATTGATGATCGGTTTCGATTGTGGCATTCGCCACTCCTACTTCTGAAGCGCGCACAAAGCCTAGCTTCCGTGACCGGATGTCACGCTGGGACACAAAGTCCGTACTGGCGTACCAACAGATGGTTTGCCTCGATCGCAGGAGCGATCTTATCTGATTGAGAATCGGCGTGAACCGTGGCACTCAACCACTCCTCACCTCGGAGCACGCACGCTCCCACGTCACCGCAGTCACCCAAGGACACAAAGTCCTCCACTGGCTCGTCAACACGTGACTTGCCTCGCAGGCCCTGCCCGCCGCTGCACCGTCGTGGCGCCAAGTTTTGTGCAACTGCATGGTTCTCCCACTGTTTCTAGATCCCACCCACTGGTTCTGTTCACTCCGTTAGTCCTTATAGTCGAGGCCCACGTGACCTACTACGTCACGCCACTCCCACCGCAGTTCTAATGCTAACAATTAAGGGTTTCTTAAGACCGGAAGACCCCAAAGCCTTGTGTCTCCCGTTTCCGCGTTCTTACTTTAAGGAAAAACCCTTCTCTCCTTCCTGTGGTGAGGAGTTTCCTCTTACTAATCCCTTACCAAGCGTCCCCAAATAGATGCCACGAGGCACGCTGGCTAATACGTTACACTATTGAGACGAAGGAAATATGGTATTGTAAATAGATCTGAGAAACTACTGTAAAGTATTAATCAGAGCAGCCAGCCTCTTGAATTCTGCTTTACCCAGAGGCTGAACTCGACCTAGCAGTAGAGCAATTATCGAAAATGTCCACAATCAGGTCTCGAACTCGTGGACCTCCTGGTCAGAGCCACTGCAGAGATTCCGGTAATGATGGCTAAAAGGCAATCTCAGCCGGTGATGTAGGAGGGGCCTTTGATCCTGCAGGTGTTCCCTTTCGACTCAGACAGTTGGGGTCAGGTCAGGTTGGAGTCTGTTGTGGTCTGCCTTCGCTGAACCTACGTGATGAGCAATACGAGAAAGATGAGCACATTGAAGGCAAAATTTTAACGCGGAACTAAGGAATTGCAACTTAAGGAGAGAAGGAAAATGTAGCTAAGTTTCCACCAGCAGCTAATAAACGATGTCACCAATTTCCTTCATTTCAACAAATTTTCAGTTAATTTGTGGTAATACGTGTGGTTGAAATTTGGTAGGAAATGATTTTACCTTTCGGGTCACATTTGAAAAGGGCAAATTCTGATATATGTGTTCGGAAAAGTTAGCCATTGATATGCCCAAAAGTCCCAGGAAAGTGTAGACATGAATTGATGGGAAAACGTTTTAAATTATTCCCAGAATAACTTTTTCCTTCCCCTCATGAACAATTATACTCCACGATTATACAACTTACACAGAATTTTCATGCTCTGCACTTGTCATAATGTTCAAATGAACAACTTACTTGGAACTTAATGGTCCTTTCGAGAAGTCTTGTTTGGGCGTCTGCAGTCAATTGAGAAAACGTCAGCTCGTCTTCGAGGGTTGTGACAGGAATATTTTCCAAAAACATTTTCCCGAAGCAGATGATTCTAACATCGCCTGAGACCGCCAGCACCAAATCGTTGAGGTTCTTGGGATTAGAATCCACATCCAGTACGAGTACCTGGCATTAGAAGACCAAAAATTTAAGTAAGTGATTTTGTATAAATGTTTTGTATTAAACGTTTCTTTTGTAAATATGGCTTCTTGCTCGTTTATCAGTTATAGAACGAGTAATTATAGATCTCGTTTCCCTTACACTCTTAAAGTTATTCCTAGATTATTTTTCATTAATAATAAATTTTTCAAATACCATTCTACTTCTCCGCATACTACATACGTAGTATAGATAAAATTACGTAAGGCTGCAGCGAAAACCGGCGATATTTTGGCAGAAAAAGAAGAGTCAGAATCCCTGCTTTGTGGATCATTGACACCAAACTAAGTTTTGTTCAAAACGTTGGACGGCATTGTTGTTGGATGAAGGGGAAGAACTGTGAAGAGGGGGAATGATTGATTGATTGATTGATTGAAAGAGTAGTATTTTCGGGCGCGTTAAGTGCTAAGGTCATTAGTCTCGTAAGAGTAGTACATGCTTTTCCTCGTGAGGTAGCGGCGACTTCCCCTGTTAGATCGTGAGTTTCGGCGCCGACCGACACGTAGGATAGCGGGTTTTCCTCAACCAGGTATCTCTCACCAACGCCGAATCGCCTCAGTCGAGACACGTTCTAAGCTCCCAACATGTGTGTTCAGAGTGAGGATAGGACAATGAAACGGCAGAAAAAAATCGCGCGCGATCCGTGGCCCGTTTTGTAGGTACTGCTCCGGCATTCGCCTGGCCCGGAGAAACGACGGAAAGCTATCTATCGGATAGAATTCTCCCCCAGACAGCGCCTGAATTCTACCTAGGTATGTAACCCCTGCCAAAAATTCTGCCATCGTCGGGAGTGGAACTCTAGGACCCGCCGGTCAGAGAGACTGCACAGTGACATCAGTTGAGGATCTTTGTCACCTCAGCCGGTGGGAAGAAGAGGGCAAAGCGCGGGCGGCATAGAGTAAGTAAAAGGAAAGGAACAGGCGAATATGCTTAAAACTCTTTTCCAGTATGGGGGTTCCCAAAACGCGTATTTCTGTTTTAAAAAATCTCAAAACCGATTTTCCGCAGCATTATATAACTTTCTCTATTCTACATTCATTACTTCGTACACATACGAGAAATTTTATTGCGTCCACGTACCCGGCAATGGTGCGCTTTGCACACGGCGACCAGTGCCTTCGCCTCGAACTGGCAGAGGACGTCGCCGTTCACGTACACCCACGCGTCGCGTTGCTCGGCATTCAGCAGGCCCAGCACCTTGGCGGCCCGGGCACCCGCAGGAACGCCCGCCACCTGCGCGAATAACGGCAACGATGTGTTGTGTTGCGTCGCGTCGCGTCGCGTCGCGTCGCGTCGCGTCGCGTCGCGTCGCGTCGCATCGCGTCGCATCGCATCGCATCGCATCGCATCGCATCGCGTCGCATCGCGTCGCATCGCATCGAATTGCATTGAATTGCATTGAATTGCATTGAATTGCATTGAATTGCATTGAATTGCATTGAATTGCACTGAATTGCATTGAATTGATGCCTTATTTAACGTGGCGGGACTCGGTTCATCAGGCCCGCTCTTCCGTCTGACCACGCAAATTTCGCAACGCTCCTTTCACCAACTAGCGGAGAAAGGAGGCATTTCTTGGGCGACAAAACAGGCGATTTCAATTTAGCTCAAAGGTTTCATTTAGGCTTGAGGATCTTTTACATTCTGGGGATTTTGTACTGCATCATCAGCAGTATAGCTCTGAAGAAGGCCACAGCAAGATGGCCGAAACGTCAGCCCAATTGACCGAGACGCGGCTCATCCCGGATAGCCAAGATTGCATTAAGTGAGTCGTTTCGGTGAAGAGTAAAAGACCTCCATAGCCCCTACTTTGCGTTCCCGCAATCGATCAAAAACCGAACCTGAATGACGACGGCGCCGTTCCTTCGCATGGCGTTCCGCAGGGACTCGCATCGCGTCCCCTGGAACTGCAGGACGTCCAGGGCGCACGCCTGCCGCGCCTTCTCCCGCAGGTGCTGCGCCAGGTACCACTCCACCTCGGCCGAGTCCTCCGTCAGGCAGAAGTCCTTGGCGCCGTCCCGCATCCACTCCTTCAGGAAGCCCAGGTAGCGGAGGGCGAGCAGGTCGAGCTGTGGCAGGCGGTCGCCCAGCAGCGCCTGGATTTCGCGCGAGATGAAGCCGTCCAGTTGGCCCGACTCGCGCTGCTCGCAGTACACGAGCAGGTTGGGGAGAAACTCTTGCCGGAAGATTTCTTCGTTGGCATCCCCGTTTAGTAAGTCCCATATCTGGAAAAGGGCAGTAGGTACGTAAACACAACAGTTCCTTTTTTGTGCGAAAAGGTCTTTTACTGGGCACTGGACGCAAGTTCATAGTGAGAATCTTTTACCAAATAATAATATATTAATTTTGAGGGCATTTGTGCAGTAGAATTGTCTATACATTGCACTAAAATGTGCTCTATAAAATATCAACTCATCATTATATTTCCGCATATTTTTCACGTTATGTACACTAATCCTGCATTTTTTACTATACTGCTCAATCAAATTTGGTGAAATTTGAAGAGTGAAATAAGAATGTGGAAAAGTTTCCACTAAATACATTTAATAATTAAAATTACATCCACATTCAAACACTTTCGGAAACCCTTGACAGTCCCATTCTTGAAAAGGAAAGTGCTTTCCTTTTTTTCATCTTGTTTCGTTCATGTTTGTTAGAGAAGTCAAGTCATGATGGGGAAGTCAGCAGTGTCTGTTTAAGACCTCCTCCATGGTATGTAAGAATTGAAACGATGTTATTTTTCTACTTAATATCTTGAATAATTCAAAAAAAGGAAGTTGATTTTAGCTACAATGAGCCGCGTATATAGAAACAGGCATAACTGAATTAAACTAGTGGAAATACACTGCATACCCACACTTTTCCTTCCCTTCATGCTATTTCTAAACAAATACTCAGATTTTTAAAACTGTGTATAACATCATTGAAGATCTGCAATTGAATGAAGTTGTGCAGAAAACATCCTATCCGCAAGAATCAATTTGGTTGAACACGGCTTGAAATGCTGTAAGATACAATAGCTTAATAATTCGAGCTGCAAGGATGCACGATAAAAATAATGCATGTGTAGGATGTAAGAACATTTGCATGTAGTTCACATTAGTGTTTCATAATTTAATAAACAATATCTCTCATTGGTTGTTTCCTGCAAGTAAAGAACATAGTAACTAATATGAATAACTTCACGTCAAATCGCACACTCAAAAACCATCACTATTTTTCAGAGAATTTAAACTTGAATTAAGCGGTCTATGGTTGAAAATATGCGAGACGTATTTTTTTTTCTTTTTTTTTCTGAACCCAGCCCAATTCCTTTTCCTGGAAAATCGTACGGGGCATTAAACATTTTTCTCGCACCTACTTCCTTCTACAGAACAACACAAATATACTGAAATTAAAACTACAAAGGTGTACTTTTATGGGATGTAAACATGACCTTTGGACCATATCATTTAAACATTTAGACTGGATTTCAATTGGTATAATACAATTTTTTACTATAGACAGACACTTTAATTTAATAAATACTAATGTATTTTTACGCTATTGTTGTCTCTGACAAATTCCAAAATGGAACACAAAGAATTAACAATTTTAAAAATCGTTTGTTGCGCGGAGCACTCCCAGCGACCTACTTTCTTGTCGTGGTGGGTGAAGCGAAGAACGCAGTCGTCTGCAGCCGCCGTGTCCAGAACGAGGCGCGCCATCTTGTGGAGGTGGTCGTTGGCGGCACCGCAAATGGCCGCCGCCTTCCAGCGCTCCTGCGTGGTGAAGATCACGAAGCGGCACTGGTCCATGGGCTCCTCGCACAGCAGACGTTCCGCCTCTGTCAAAGTTCCTCCCGGGTCGAGCTTCTGTTGGTGCCAGCCGCGCAGCTTCAGGAAGAAGTCGAAGTATTTCTTCAGGCAAAAGTTTTTGCTCACCGTGAAAGACTGCGAAAAAAATAGAAAAAAAATCGAAAGAAAAATAAGAAGATTCAGGAGAAGTCGAATATATTCTTCAAGCTACGTTTTTGCTGTTTTAACTAAAGTTCCCAAAAAATAATAGAATTGAAGTAAAAAATAGGATAGCTTCAGAAGAAGTGAGAGTTATTTCTTTCAGCCAAAAACCAAGTTTTTTCCGCGTGAAGCTGCGCAAAAAACTGAAAAAATCGAAAGAAAACATAAGAAGTTCAGGAGAGTCGAAATATTTCTTCAAGTGACGGTTTTTTTGCTTTTACTAAAAGTCTGCGAAAAAAATAATAGAAATTTGAAGTAAAAAGTAGGAAGCTTCAGGAAGAAGTGGAAGTATTTCTTCAAGCAAAAGTTTTTTTCTCGTCGTGAAAGACGGCGAAACAAGTAGTAGAAATTCGGTAGAAAAATAAAAAGCTTCAGGAAGAAATCGAGGCATTTCTTCAATCTCATACTAAAAGTCTGAGAAACAAATAGTAGAAATTCGGAAGAAAAATAGGGAGCTTCATGAAGTAATCGAAGTATTTCTTCAAGCAAAAGTTTTTGCTCGTCGTGAAAGTTTGCGAAACAAATAGTAAAATTTCGAAAGAAAAATCATGAAGAAATCGAAGTTTCGAATCGACTTTTTCAAATTTTGCTCGTCCGGAATATCTGCGAATGTCTGCTTCAAGAATAAATCCAAGTATTTCTTCAAAGTTTTACCTACCGTCGAAGACTAGTTGAGTTGCTAGATGAACTTGTTCAGTTCCCTAGGTAGACTCGTTGCTTAGGTACGCTCGAAGGACCCACACACGTGATGTTACCAAGGTAAAGTCGTCGAGTTACCAATTACTAGATTTGTCGAGTTACACGCGTATAATCAAGTTACCCTGGTAGGTTCGTAGAGTCACTCAAGTAGACTCGTCCAGTAACTCAGAATCGTTAAGTTAGCAAGGCAGACCCGTCGAATTACCAAGCTAGTCGAGTTCATGAGGATTGCGGGTAAGAGTACATTTTAAGTAAAAGGTAACAGTAACAATTGAACGGGGAGAGGTGGTTCAGGAATGAACCAATGTCACTGCAGAGCCCCTGAACGTGCGGTCCGAGGGAACGAGTCCCGACAGTCAGAGGATATTCGACACTAGCTAGAGAGATGGGTCGAATTCACTCGCTGGGTCTCCACTCAGCGCCTTACGCGAACTCCTGCTCTGATCGGTAGTTTTCCGTGGCTTCTCCGATCAGAGCCAGGCGAATGCCGGAACAGCACCGTAATAAACAGACCGCGCTCGATCTTTCCTTCCCATTGCTTGTCCTAGCCTTATCCCTTACTTCTACAAACACACACTATCCTACCTCACACGCCGGCAGAACAGTGCGGAGCTTCAAGCTTGCCGCGGCTGGGGCTGTGCCCCGTTGTTGGTAGATTCCTGGACGGAAAAACCTCGCTCACCGACGGTAGATAGACGCCAACTCTCGCCATCCAGCGGGGCAAGATCACATGCACTTCACTTACAACTTGGCAGTTGACGCGCCCCGAAATCACCAGCAACCAACCACGCTTTGTGGGAGATTCCGGTTCCGTACCTTGAGTGAGAGCGGGGCCGCGCCGGTGTGCTTTAGCTGCAGGAAGTAGGTGGCGCCGCCGCCGGTGCTGCCGCCGGCGGCGAGGCGCAGCACCACGTCGTCGAAGGGGCGCGCGGCCGCCACGTTGGAGTAGAGCTGGAAGCGCGCGCCCAGGCGCCGCGCGCGCAGCGCCGCCAGCCCCGCCACCTTCCGCTCGAACTCCACGCCCTCCGCCGTCGCGCCGCCAACCAGCCGCTCCAGGCGCGGACGCGACGCCGCCCCCGCCGCCCTGTCACACGCACGCACGCACGCGTGCTCAGTAGGAAAGGGAGTTGGGGAATGGAAATGTGGGCATGGGGATAGAATGGAGGGGGTGGGGAATGTTGGTGGGAATGGAGTGGGCGGAAAATGGAGTGGGCGGGGAACGACTGGGCGAGGGATGGAGTTGGCGGGACATGTGCTCGGAATGAGAATGAGTTAAAAAGGTAAATTCGCTGATTTTACCTCATAAAAATATACTTCTCCAATGAAACTTACTAATAAAATTTGGATGGATCGCTCTTGAAAATTAAACACGACAATGGGCAATGATTCTCGTATGACATCTAGGAGTAAGTTAAATCTAAAAAACGTTTTAAACTTCGCATTTTGTGTTAATGAACATGTGCAATAAAATTTCATATAACAAACTTCAACCTATGTTAAATTTGCCTCTAATTGTTTGGAAAATTATCATACATTAGTGTTTGGCAGGTAATGTTCTGCCGCAGAAGGATTTCGTGTATCTGCCGCACCAATGCACAATGAATTGCCTACCAAACAGTGGTCACATATGTCACTTCAATATATATTCATTACCCAACACGCTCATTGGCAACCTCTCTATATGCCCCAGAAGATGTTTACTTTTATTCTGAGACACGTGCATAATGTCTACAAATCCGAGCGAGAAATCGCTTGTCGCCGCCCCTCCTCCACATATATATATGAGTAGAAAACTATGTTAATCAAACGTGTGGTATTATCTGAAATTGAATGTATTCGTTTTTGTAACAAACTGTATTCCTTTCGCAATATAGTCTATGTGCCTGTAATTTAATTTTCCCTGTAACATATTTTAGTCACTATGCACCTCAGCAGCCGACTTGAAATCAATAAATTTAACAAATTATAATTATAATAATTATAATGATAATTATGATAATAATAAAAGTAATAACTATCATTATTACCATTATTGTTATTATTATTATTATTATTATATAAAGAAAATTATCACTTACGTGCAATCCGAACCGGTCATCCTTGAGGTTCCCTGAAACCGACAGAGATATTGAATTTATTTAAAGTTATTTTTGCTGGCGTTGTCTGAAGAATGCTAATTTGTGCTGCCATACCTGAAGTACACGAAACAAATGCCGCCACCTCCAGAAAAAACATGCGTTACACTTACGAGACTAATGACCCTGGTAGTTGACGTGCCCGGAATCAGTAAGCAATCAATCAGCAATAAACAAGTGAGAGCGTAGGTTTCCGCGGCCGGAGTCAGTATTTACTAGGCTGTCCGGGTGACGCCGCGTCCATGGCGAAGGTACTGACGTTTCGGTCACCATTCTGCGACCTTCCTCAGGAGGTCTTGCCTTTGAGGAAGGCCGCAGAATGGCGACCGAAACGTCGGCACCTTCACCATGGACGCGGCGTCACCTGGACAGCCTAATAAATATAGCAATAAACAAACAGATCGCGCAGTGCCGTGTACACTCGATCCCTTAGCCGAGCGTAAATCATCAACATACGTATCGGTCCTCGGTCCTTCACGGGCAAAGGCTACGGAAAGAAGTACTTCGTATCTTCACCACACGCCCGACGCTGCGGCAGCGCTGTTATGTCAACGGAATTTCCGCCGCCGCCGATATCGCGACCACAAGCAGATTTTATATCGGAACACGACAGTCATCCTGCTCTGTTTTTCTTTTTCCTTCTCTTTTACGTCTCTCTCCCCCTCTCTCTCTCTATTTCTCTCTCTCTCTATCTATCTATCTATCTCAGCCTCTCTCTATATCTATCTATCTATCTCAGTCTCTCTCTCTTTCTCCCTCTCTCTCTCAGAAGAAGAGAAGAGACAAAAATGAACTACTTTTAATCACAGATGTAGTCCCTTTTGTGGTGAAAGCTGCGCCTGTATCACAACATTTTTAAGTCTATTATGAGGTTTAGCAATGGCTAAATGAAGAAAAAATCCGGAAGAGTAGAGAGGGGGAAATAAATGGCCTTGCGCCTTTGACAACTAATTGTTAGTACCACTAATTCACCGGTTTTATTGAAATTTGGTTCCTGAAAAGCGTTATGACACTGTGTCAGTCGTTTCTAAAAATGACCTGTAAGACGAGTTACGAGGTGGGACAAGGACAACAAGAAGACATTGAACCTGACGAACCAATGAAAGAGGACTGGGGTACTTTTCAAGATATTAAATAATGCCAATCATTAGAAACAATATAATATAGTTACTCAATAAAAGTCCGCATATGCTATTATTTTGTATATAGCAGATGTCTATGAAAACCAGAGCCTTCGAAATCCATGCGTCGATGAGTCCATGGTCGTTCAAAATATTCATTTTCTTATTCACAGTATTAATTACCTATTTTTCTTTGGCCAATTATTTGTACACATATTTATTGGATATAAATTACAAACATGAGTTAGAGAATGAGGGAAGTTAAGTGCAGCGTCGTTTTCACAGTAACTTCCAGCAATATTTTGCACACAAACGACGATACTATTGAGAAGAAAATCTGGTCAACATCAAAAAGGATACAATCTTATCCTCTGTCATTTCATATCATATCAATATTTACGAAAAATTGATGAGTTTTTAAGTTATTCAGTATATGTTTAGGTAAAGTGGGATATTCAGATCAAGCAATATCCAGATAAACTGGGAAATGTCCGTTTTTTCATGTATTCCGGTTATATCGTCAAATTTCCTTGTGCTCCCTGTGTTTAAACCGTTAATTGGGGAAAAGATCTTAATAACTTTAAAAATAGGACATTTTATCTTCTTTTATTTGATATAGATGCACTTACGAAAATGGATGGTTAAGTTATTTAAAACAAACTGAAAATGGCGTCATTTTTACACAGTTTTTTCTTAAAAACGTGTTTCCGGGCCAAATTATTGTTGGTAAATCTAATATTCCAGTTCAGCAACCCAAAAGACATATAAAAAACCAAATATCAAAATTACACCAAAAATTTCCGCTATTTGAGTTTATAAATACAGGAGCACTACTTACTTAACGAGTACTATTCCATGTCCCTTTATTAAATAGATAAGTAGATTGGTTTCTTGGTCTCAGAAATTATTTTTGTCCAAAGAGCTATATCATAACAAAAATCATGTTCAAGGCTTCTGTATTATGTTTAAGAAAGAAATGTTCAAGTGTTGTCAGTCTAAAGAAGAAATACAAATGTTTGAATGCCCTCTTAAAATTCTAAATTCTATAAGCATGTTCTGAAAACAGATATGAATTAATTTTAAAATGTGAGTAAAAGTCCTTCTTGTGTGACAACGGTTGTTGACAATAGTGACTAATTCTGGTATGGTATGAGTAACAGTCTGTGATCGCTGCGAGAATTCCAAAGCCACCTGAATACGGTCGATCTAAGTGACCGGTACTGTACGTTCATTTACGCGAGTTTGGATAAATAACACTATAAATCTGTTTATTGTGAATGATTGAATGAAAAGAGTGAAATCTGTATTTGTATTTCAGTATCAGTATTTGAATTCCGATAAAACCGAAGATTTTCTTCCTACAATCCGCCGTTGCCAGATGATATAGAGAGATAAAAGATAAAATGTACAATGTTTTATGACAGATACAAACATATATACAATGACGATGAGCGAATCAATACTTGAACGAATAAATTGTTTTAGCTATTTTAAAAGTTGGTTCCAATATAGTTTTTCGTTACTACAACAGGGAAAATGTGAAGAAAAACAATAAACGTTCGCATATTGATAGAAAATAAAACAAAGAATCATTATTACAAACAAACTACTAACGAATTAATTACTAATAAAATTACAATACATGTGAATGAACGAATGAATAGCTAAAGAATGAATGAATGGCGAATGAATAAATTACCTGTGTGTGTGTGTGTGTGAATGAATACACAAAAAAACACACGAATGAACATAAAAAGTATTAATGAGTAAAGAGATGATTGCGTGAGAAAATGAGCGATTAAGAATGAATAACCTTATCAGTAATGTTCCATCGGCGAAGTCGTACCCAATAGACGACGAACGAATAAACCAAAAAAACTGAACAGCACAAAGACGCCTGTACTCCCACGATGAACACTAGTACACGCACACTATACACTCGCCCGCGCAACACAACTGCTCCGATTCCGGTACACCCAGGGCTCGAACATCCTGCAGCGCGTCCGAGTACAATCGCAATCTCGCCCCGTGATGGGTGTAGATAAGATGCAAAATCGTCGGCTTCCTTCTCTGCCACGGCCGCCGCCGCCGCCGCCACCGCTGTCAGACGACCTTGAATCCCTCAGTCCCCGATACATTGACCGCACACACTGGGCCCTCACCGGCAACATCCTGGCTGTCGCCCTTTTATTTATTGTTGTTAGCGTACCGGCCATGGCCTACCAGCGGCATCCCAGCCTCGCGGCTAAATGCACCGAAAAATACTTGTAGGAAAATTCAATAGGTCGCAGCACTATCGCAGGAAAATGTACATTACTGATAATGTCTGAACCAATGTTCCGACTTTCGATCTCTAAACGGCATTTGGCGCCTTTTTAAAATAGAATTTACGCTAAAATAGATTTTCCACAAAATCTAGCAAAAACTTGAATTTGAAATTCGTTCTCAAACTTCCGAGAGAAAAAATGTGGGCCTATAGCGCGATGGCGACATGCTTCCCGAATCCAACGCCGTGATAATCATGCAAATCGGACGAATAGGAGCGTCGTAAAGTGAAATTTGGGAAAACACCTCGCCCCTCTCCCCCTTCCGCTTCCACCCACCGAATTTAGACTCACAAAAAAGTCAATCCATAGAACAAGAATTCAAAATAAATACGTATTCTATGTCTTTCAAATCAAATTCGCAAACGCAAATTCAAACGCAAATTCACAAATATTTCCCAATATTTCCAAATATTTAGAGAACCATAGTGGGAAACCTTCCAAATGTTCAGTTTCTAAGTTTAGAATACGTTAGTGAGAAATAAATAAAAATTACATAGGTA